GATTTCTAAGACCAATTCAATGCTGACAGATGAACCATAGCATCTGACTCATTATCAGAAACATGTCTTGGTTTCAGAATGCTCTTCACTGTAGTGTAACTAGGGCAGGGTGGGCACTGCACCAGTCCTGGATGCTGACTTTGAGGGGATGCCAGAATCACACCCCTGTGAGTCTTTGCTATGGCAGGGGCTGCTCAGTCCTGCATTAAGCAGCTTATTTGGAGGACAGGGGAGGCGAGGACAGTGGAGTGCTTCCCCCACTCCCATGAGGAGTCTCTCACAGCAGGCACAGCACTATGCCCAATATGTTTGTATTGGAGGTGGGGAAGAGGGAGGAAGGTAGTGAAAGGGCCTCTCAGAAAGCTCAGGCACTGGGCTGCAGTTGCCAGAGCACAGCTGATGCTGTAGCAGCAGCAATAGTCTAGGAAGATAAACCTTCTCTTCCACTCATCTATTCTTCGCCCCAGTACAGTGGTCAACAAACTCCCACACACCCTCTCCCCACCACTGGCCATCAGAATTCAGTGAGATTGGTACGCCTCTGCCTCTTCAGAGACCAAACACTTCACACTTGACATTTAAGGCAGCTCCCAGGTCTAACTCATGACACTTCACAGAAAGTGCCATGAGTTAGCTGTTGGGTGAGGAGGGTGGGAGATCACGCCCTAATTTGGAGCCCATCCAGAAAGAGAAGCTGCATCTCTACAGCCTTTTCCCCTAGCTCTGCCCATCATTCTCCCAGCTCCTCTTCTGACTCAAGATGGGAGGGGGAGAAGATGAGGGAGGGAGGTCTGTTTTGGGGTTTCCCCAGCTGCACTGGAGTTGAAGGAGGGGTGGATTGGAGCCTCCCACCAAAGGCAAGGTTCCAGTGCACCTGCACCACCTTTTAATGTCAGCTGGACAATCCCCAGAACAAACTCCTTCTGTTCCTTTTCCCTCCCTCGCAGTCTGAAAACAGTACCAGGAGCTATGCAAGGCTGACAACTGAGCCCTGCTCCCAGTATGCAGACAGAAGTTACTGAGAGTGCTCACTTTGCAGCACCTTCATCTGAGCCCTCATATAATGAGGGTACAGATTTTCATGGAATCAGGCCCTTTTAAAACTCTCTGTGCTTATGCATTTGTGTTTGGTCAGGTCAGTAGAGAGCTTTCAGGGACCAGATCAGGTTAAAATTGTCACTTCTATCTGCCCCTGTAGATACTGCAACCCAGATAGATGCAAGTTTATGCCCATCTATGATTACATCCTAATATTTTAGTGTCTATATTTCTTTCTTTCTACATGGTGTTTAATACATTTCAAATTATTGTCAAAGCACCTGTGAGGTAAGGTAGAAAGTCCATCTGTCTAACTTGGAGTCGAATTTCTTCCGACTCCCAATTCTGTGCTGTAGATTCTTCATCATTACTTGTTGTGTATAAACGTTTGTGCAATTCTATACAAGGAGGGAAGGGATGAAAACAGGTAAAATGTAGCCTAAACCTTGCTACAAAACTCTACTTTACTTGCAAATCCTTCAACTGCCATGTATAAAAATCTGAATTATCATATTTATTTCATAGGAGATTAATTCCCCTTCTACTGCATTTGTTGTCCGCCCCCTTCCCCCTCCCTCCCACAACCATACTAGTCTTTCAGCTGTCCTGCTCACTTCCTAACACACAGGATTAGCTTTAGTCCTAATCATCATCTGCTACTTCTGATGCTAAAGAAGTCAATTCTGTGACTTTTCTTGTTCCATTTACCTGGCACATTCCACAGCTCTATAGCTCCTTCTGCATATCTCTTAAGAGGATCTTAAGGCAGGAAGAGTGCTGACTGGTTTGCAGTGACAGAAAGAGGAGGAAGCCTCATACATACTGCCTTGCTCTCCCTGCAAGCCAAGGTGAAGAGAGGTTAGAGTCAGATTTCAGACTGGAAAGCCATTTCCTTTGTCCCAAATGTGCAAATTAAACTAGTCGGGTATTGATGACTGTATAGGAGCCAAAAAATCTGGTATTCAATTGCCAAATTATGTTAAAAAATAAAGAAAAGAAAATGTACTTCTCTCATAGACTGTACAAATGCAAATAAAAGCAATTTAGTGAAGGACCTGCAACTTGATCGGATAAATATCCAGTCATTGCACAAATGCAAACCTCTTTCCATTTTGCATTAGTGCAGAATCCAGCTGAGAGTTTTTAGCACAAGAAGCTGCCAAAGTTTAAGGTAGGTAAAAGCATGTAAAAATATGCCTTCATTACTTTTCATTACCATTGTTTTGGACTTAAGGCACCAACTTAAGACCTTGGGCTACTCAAAGCCTGATTTTTAGAAGTTGATTCTCTGTAGCACTGTGTAGGGGTACACAAATGTAAGAAAAGCTATTTGAGAGCATGGGAGAAAACTGTTGGGAAATAGTATTTGGATCTTTACTGATTGAATATGAATTTTTTGTCATATTATGTGCTTACACTCAGAATTTTACACTGGTAATTTTTAAAAAGAAATCTATGGCCCTAAATGAAATGCAGCTCCTGTTTCCAGAGAGGGATCTTTATAGCAAGTAAAAACATTATTTTAAAATTGCAAAAGTAAGCATTTTCAGACCTAAACTTTGTATGAAAAAAGCACAAGTCTTCTAGCATGGCAGTAATTTAGGAAATACATAAATGCAGTAATGGAAATTCATCAGAATACATCTAAATTTCACTTAAATCCGTAGGTAGTGAATCAGGCTCGTATACATCTTTTAGTTGTAAGGACCTACCACCTGGACTAATCCTGAGCATGACTTTGGGATTGATATAACATGCATATAGTAAACCCATGTATTTTGGGTTGATTGCCCCTAAGGACACCTATTATCTTAGTCACTGATGTGGCAAGAACCTATGTAGACATTCCTGATGTAGCCACAGCAGCACGGGACTCAGCAGATTACACAGCAGACTCAGACTCAGACATCACACACAAACCTGTTTAAGTGATCAGAAACTGGTTTAATCTGGAACAGAACAGATGTTCAGTGCACATAAACCAGTTTGAAAATGGCTGAAACAGGTTTGGGATAAAGCTGGTTGAATGTAGTATCAGACTGAACTGCTTTGGGTCAAACTGCTTTGGGTTATGCAATGTCTGTCTGAGACCCCTTGCTGGTTTAAGTTAAACCAGACTCCCCCAGCATACCGGCATGCTCTCTGGGCTGTGTGGGGCTCTCTACTCCACAGAGGAGCTGGCCTCTCCCCTCTGCTCCCTGGCTGGAGCTCAGCAAAGACTGCAGACATCTGCCTGAGCACTCCCTGCTAAGCAGGGATTCCCTTTTCCCCTCTGCCTTACATGGATACCTCTCAGCATTAGCTAGCAGACCACATGCTGGTTATGGTCTGTGCTGTGGCAGACAGGAGAAAGGCAGAATCACCAGGTAGTTGGTAATGTCCCTCTGTTGTTTGCTTAATGGGGTGATAAACACTGAGTTAGGGATGATAAATACTGCTATCAGTTCCCTGCTGGGCTGCTCAGAAGGGAGAACCCCGCCCTAATCAAAGCATCCTGCTGGGGCCTCAGCTCAGCTCAGCTCTTTGCAAGGGATGGGAGGGCTGCTCTAGTGCCCCCAGGCTTCTAGCTTGAGCTACAGCAGGCACATGCCTGCATTTCTGGGATGTCTGTCTGGTTACAAAACTGATTTAGCCTTGCCAGGTTAGACTAACCTGCAAAGATTGAGTCAACTCAGGCATTTCAATGTCTGTCCCGAGCCTCTGAGCCCATCCATCTTCTAGTATCCTAACCATGCATTTTGCTTACTGAAATCATTGAGATTTCACAACATTTGTTATATTCAGCTCTTCATGGATCTCTACTAAATTCCTGTTTAGATCTTCCTATCCACATACCATCCTCCTTTGCTGACCCAAAACCTCATCTTGGCACTTTATTTTCCCCAGTGTTTGGTTATCTTTATTCCCAGGTCTTACATCTATATAAAGCAATAGGTTCTTTAATGGCAAGTGAGCATAAGGTGAATATCCTCATCCCATCAGATGCATGATAAGAAAGTCTTGAAAAACGCTCAGAAAAACACAAATGATAATACAGATAGATGACTTCCACTATGGAAAAATGTCACTAGGTGCACTCCCTCAAAAATGTATTCCAGATGTAAATCAAACCTCTTTATGTATAAAAAGATTAACTTTTGACAGTGGTATTGTCAACTACAGTTTAAGAGGTAAAGAGTTAGAACTTATACTGTTTTAGCATTACCCCTCACCCCCCCCTCAAAAAAAAACCCAAACAACCCAGCAATAAATTTACTTTATATAAAGTCTAACCTAAGATCTAATACTGAAGCCATTTTTACCCACATAAGTGGTTTTACACAGAGGTATAAGTGTCTTGTGGCATCAGCTTCTTATATCATATGTAAAGTAAATAAAATCTAGAGACATAATTGTAAAGGTATCTCTAAAAACAAGGTAGTATGAAAACTATGTGCTGACATATCATTTAATGAGTCTAAATGCTAATGTACTCAAGTAGTTAATGTTAAACTAATCCTACACTTTAACGGCATTGGAAACAAAAACTAAAAAGCCTTTTAATATATGTAGTTTTAAAAATGAAAGGCAAGAGGAACTTCTGAGCCCTCTCCTGATGTCTTAGAATATGAGACCAGTAAGTAACTGGGAGGATCAGTATGCAGCACGTGGATCAGAAACACTTCCTAGAAGCAGCAAGTACTGTATGTTGCCTCAACCCTCCCTGAACTTTCCCAGTAAATACAGCAGTCTGACAGCCCGGCATCCCTGCTGGGTGGATCCTGCAAATCCAGGAGGGAATGGCACTTCTTGTTTTTAATTAGCAAAGGTGAAAGGTGAATTAAAACTAGCTGTTTGGCAAGTCAGAGCAAGGGGCTGAGTTCTGAAGAGCACCAAGGAGGAGGCTTTTTTTTTTTTTCTTTCCTGAATGAATTGCCTTGCAGGAGAGACTGAATACAGCTTCTTCTTGAATCCACTGGCAGAGTTACTAAAGAGAGCTCAAGACACAACACTGCAGAATAACGCCTTGGAATGTCCTCGCAGTGTATAAACAATTGTCCTTGGGAGAGAATATTTGTCAGGACCTTTGCAAAGCCTGACATATGGAAATCTGAGAAACTGCATTTCTCATCGAGATCCCCACCAACTGACCAGAGAAAGATTTAACTGTCCTGAGAAGGCAAAAGTGGAACTTGCAGTTCAAAAAAAAAACCAAAACCCAACAAAATAAATCAACACTTACGTAAAGAAGCACAAGAATTTGCTCTTGGGCAGCATGGTATTTGCCAAGAACCTTTTAATCCTGGCACTATGTGGCTTGTTACTAGAGTTACCTACTGGATGTCATGCAACAGATACAAGGCAGCCAAGGTTACGTCTGTCACATAAAGGTAGGTCAGTGTGTCAGGTTGGTTTTTTTTAAGACTTTGTGTCAAATTCATCCTTAATATAACTTCTTTGACTTTGGTGGAATTACAGCACAAAGGCTGAATTTGACAGAATGAAATAATCCTATTCAGAAATGTATGATTTATTTTGCCTGTGTTTAAAGGGTACATTTTAATCTGCTACATGAAGCAAGGTATACTGCATTTCTATTGATTTAATGCAATCTATTCTTTTGCCCTGAAAGTGTATTAAACTGGAGTGCCCCTCTGTTGCCTTTTATTCTCTGTATTCTGTAAATACTACTGTTTAACAAAGCTGACATTCAGTAGATAACACATACTATTATTGAATAGTTTATGATATGCTAAGTCTTCCACCAGGTAAGTCCTAAGCAATTAAATGCCTGATTTTATACTTTGTACTTTGAATATAGCTCATGAATAGAACAGGGGGAAAAAGACTGAATTCCTATGCAGCCAGATGAATCATCTTCTAAACTAGCAAGTGTCATCACACTATAATTAAAATGACTAACTGCCAGCATAAGTCTGCTTCCAGTTCAACTGAATTGCCCAAGGAAAAAATGTCATTTTATTCTGAAACGTGTGTGTACGGCACTCCTACTCTTTAGCTTTAGCTATAGCTTATGTGAAGCTTGAATCCCTCTTCCTTAACCACAAAATGTGAGGCAAATTATGCCCTGAAGTAATAGGATTGTATAATGCTAAAATTGCCTTCCCCCCATTTCTCTATTGGACTGTAGCCTTTTGTGTATGACTACCTGTGCTCATCCATGCAATTATAATTTTCTGCAGCTACCCACATATTAACAGATTGTGCATTTAGAAAACACATAGCAGTCGCTTCTTGTAGAAGCCCATGTGTGCATGATGTACCATAATCTGGCACAGAGTAATATTTGGTATTGCCTCTTGTACAAAGATAAAGCGATACATTCTCCTTTGCTGACTTAGCAGGTGTTGGAGAAAAGCTATACTTGGGGAAATTTTCTGTTGTTACTAATGCTGGCAACTAGGCTGCATCAGTGTGAAATGCATTATAAAAACTGTTTTAAAATATGCTAGCATCAAACTACAACTACACATTGTACAGAGCTCAAAGTAGAATGAGGCTAAATATGATTTAGTGGTGTTTTATATAGCATGATGAATTACCAGTTATGGGAGAAAGAAAGGAAAAGCTGAAAAGGATAATTAGTCTGGATGGCTTGTTAGATGGCTAATAGAGGTGGATATTTTTTATAGACCACTGAAACACTTTTTAAAGGAAGAATGATTTATCTTAAGGAACTATATGTAATTGAGTCACTGATTAGCACCGTTGAATGAATTGAATCGATCCTAGTTCTATATAGGAGACTCTGGTTTTTTTCACATACAATTTTCAATGTTAACCACTATGATAAGTGCTGACTTTATCCTGCAGTATGGATTTCCTCTCTGCTGGAAGCAACATACCAGTATTTTAATGTTCATTTCTTGGTAGGTATAATTAGAAATACAATAATTATTATAGATATTTGCTGGCTGGTGATGGGGTTGGGAAGAAGAAAAAGTCACAATGAATGAGATAAATAGATATACTGTTATGCTACTTCAGGGCATTGGATTAGCTGCTAGTTTTGGCAAGCTCTCTATTATCATGCTGCAAGTATTAACTGCTTCTGCTCTCACTTGTTGGGGTAATTGTTTTTTTCCCGCTGGTTAGAAACAGTGTGCATTTTACTACATGCTACTTTCATTTCTCAGCAGGGAGCCTGTAATTTGGTCATAGCACATCATAACTCAGTGATACTTTTAACAAAACTAAAAAAAAAAAAAGTCACTTTCTCCCCAAGTGCAAAACCCTGCCTCCACTGAAGTTAGATGACATGTATTCTCACAACCTCATTGAGACACAAACTTTGCCCTTAGGCGAAGTTCAGAATCTGCCTCCTGACATGAGCATACCTATCCCCACCCCATCTTATTCTTTAAGAAATAACACTTTACACATGCATGCATTATGAATCATTTTACATGCTGCATTGTCATGGGTCCCTGTATACATATTGAAAACTAAAAGTTAGAAGTGGCATACCTGCTGGTGCCCTGGGAACAGCCATTGTTAGTCAACTAGTCTAAAGACTATAGAATTCAACCAGGAAGACAATGGGTACATGTCCTGGCTCTATTCACTTAGCAAACATGAACAGCAGGAGGGGTCTCCGGGCTTAATTGTATACTTCAGAGGGATGTTGCTCTGGGTACCAAGAAGGCAGTAGGGGAATTATGAAAAAATTGCAGCACACCTTCTTTGCAAAGACAATCAACAATCTAAAGGATTGAGTTGCTGTTTTGGTATAGGTGACAGAGTCGACATACTTACATTTTTTACGCAATTGTCAGCCATAAAATGTAAGCAGACACTGAATAATATAATTGAATATGCCTTTGCCACAATGTTTGGTTTGTAATTGTGGATGGGACTTAGCGTGTTATAGGATGGTTGATCATATGAAAGGTTGGAGAGCTTATAACTAGGTAAGAGGAGGTTTAGGGCATGAGCCATTTATGGCATACAGGTAGTGTTTTAAACTTACGTCTTTTAAAACACAGGTTTGTACTTCAGATCATCACAAAGGAGGTTTCCACAAACTAGAACTTCTAGAAGAGTTTATTTTTATATATAAAATATATATATTTCTTTAAAGGATGCCTATTTTGCTCAGGAGCAGTAGATTCTTTATTTCTCTAAAGACCTATGGCAGTGAAAACTTATCTGAACTTATCACATCAGCAGCCTCATATCTCAGCCCTAACTCAGAAAGGTGACCTTAATTAGCATAGGGACTGTGGTATTTCTATCCAAAAAGGGGTAGATTGTGCAACCTTCACTAACGCGTATATGAACACTTGGGAGTTCATTCGGGCCCTACATTCTTGAACTGCTAGTAAACCTGTCAGGCTAATCTAAACTGTAATGGTGATTTTTGATAAGGTGAAGACCTGTTTTTAGGAAGCTGATGCCTCCAGTTCAGTTTACAGAAGACCTGGTCCTGCTCCAATGCAAGCCAATGAGAGCTGTACCACTGACATAAATGGGAAGCAGAATCAGGCTTGCAGTTGCCTAAACATCTGGGCTAGGGACAGAAGTTGCACACAGTCTGGTTTAAGTGATCATAAACTGGTTTAAACCTGTAACAGAACAGAAGCTTAGTGCACATAAACCAGTTTCAAGATGGTTGAAACTGGTTTAAGATAAACCTGGTTGAATGAAGTATGAAACTTAAGTGATTTGGGTCAAACTGGTTTATGAAACTTCTGTCCCAGACCCCTTCCTGGTTCAACTTAAATCAGAGTCCCCCAGCATCCAAGCATGGCAGCCTGGGCTGGGCTGTGCTGTCTGCTCTAGAGATCATGGCTGACCCCACCCCTCTGCTCCCTAGCTGGAGCAGTGAGGGCTGGCTGACAACGGAGTGGGGGAGGGGCAAGCCCAGATGGGGATGCAGCCCAGGCTACGGGGGTGGGCAGGGCGGGGAGGCAGGACTAGGACTAGGACTGGGGCTGGGACTGGGGGTTAAACATCCCTTCCTCTGCTCAAAATTACTGCTGGCTGTGACTGGACTACAAATCCCAGAGGCACCTGGAAAGAGGAAGAGGAAGTGACAAGCAACCCTGCAAAGTCCTGCTGCTATGAATCTAGACTGCAAATCCTAGAGATCTCAGGGGCAGCAGGAAGAGGAAGTGAACACAAAGCCAGAAAGCCATGCTGTAGTGCTCCCTGGCTTCAGGCCTGAGCCACTGTAGGCATGTGGCTGCATTTCCTGAGTCAGAGGTAAATGTCTGTTCACTTCTGTTTCAATTGAATCTGTGCATCTTAGACTCACCTGCAAAGACTGAATCGATTCAGCCTTGAGCTTTTTGACTGTCTGTACCTAGCCCTGATGATTTCAGCTTTTGATTTGTAGTAGTGAACTGACCAAAGCCCATGCTACAGATATGATTTTCCTGAACTGTTCATTCACCTGCTGACTATCAGGAAATGCATACCATAGAGCATAGTCCATTTCATTTTCAGTATGAGCGAGGCAGAAGGCAAGGCAAGATGACACTTAGAAACGAACTCGTTCATAGCAGCTGACAAAATAGGCTGTGCCATCTACAAAAGCTAATGTCTTTCTGAACAAGTTAGTCCCCTATGTGCCACCTTGCCCTGCCTTAATTTGGGTATGTGCTAAAATTTTGCCTAAAGACTAGTATTTGATGGATCATAACATCTTGGGATAAATTATTTCATTAAGACACC